CGATCCACATACCGTTGCCAATGGGAGTAAATGCATCACCAATACCCTGAATTTCTTGAGTTTCTATTGTATTGTTATTAAATTTTGTTGATCTAAATATGCGAAACATCGAATATTCCTCAGAATCTATGATTAAAAAATAAACTCGATTTAAATGGTCAATAGTAACCTGAGAATAGCTTTTTTTCGGTTCATCGTTTGAATCGATTCGAACAATAGAACCATTTTTTTCCTTAAATTGAGGAATTTCTGAGTTTGAGTCATGACGTATAATTCATCGTTCTGATCTATTTTAATAGAATACACACTTTCGTTCATACCGTTTATTTTTTCTATCGAAAAAAAAACCTTTTTTTGTGAGATTTTCAGTCAGAACAACGCTAATTATTGACAAAAGTACAAACAACCCGTGTGCAAATAAAATGACTAACAGTCACTCAGTTGTATGTAGCTGTATGTAGTGATACACAACTAAAACTGGCTAAGTTGATTGAAATTATGCGTTTTGTATGGAGACAATCACGTTTAGTTATTCTTTCAGTCAGTCGACTAATTTGGGACATTTTGACTAAGAGTGATTTGTGATTAAAGTTAACTGCAGTTGCTTATTTTGTTCGAGACAATCACTTTTAGACAGTCAAAATGTCCCAAATTAATCGACTGACTAGTCAGTCAAAAATTTTCCGCACGGGAACTTCAACATTTTTGAGTGATAGAGACTTGTGGTTTCAGATTCAAATGAATTTTAAGATGTTAAGATGTCTTGCCCGTTCAGAGTTCATAATTACACTAGACTTTGTGTGTACTATCAATCGTGTTTTAATTTGTTTTTTATTTGTTTTAATCAGTGGACGGTTATCATCCAATCAGTGTTATCAACTAAGGGAATATACCGAAATGAAGCAGAGTCCAATGTTTCAACTTAATTCGTTAGATGTTCCAGGTTTTTCTCTTCTCATTCTTCACTGAGTAGCAAGTGTATTGATGTCATGTATCTGCATATATAAAACTGTATTTATCGATTGCAATAACGTTGATGCACACAGAGAGTGCTTTGTTTTGCACAGCCTCGTAATACAAACGGTTCAATCTCAATAACACTTAACGTAAAATGTGTACAAGAATTGTTGTGCGTACACAAATTTGTAAAACAAGTTTTAAACGTGCCCCCGTTCAGTCTATTTGAAGTTTAAAGTGCAATCATTCACTGAACGTTGTTTCTCTCTTCTCCAGTTCTTGGTGTGTGTTTTTCATTCTGCTGGTTCTCAAGCGCACTTTTGTGGGTAGTGCGAAGAAAAATATATACGATCCATGCTCTGTTTGTGTATATGATATCAGTTATTTTTAAACTTTGGTGCTGGAGAGAAAAACAAAGTTATTCTTTAGTATTCATTTAATTCTATCAAAGAACCAATTTGGTGAGCGCACTCGCAATCATTCATCATCATTTGTTGATAGGCAACAAAAAATTTAAGCGCACTTTAAATGCCCGTAATTGAAATGCTTACTTCATGCTGCTGGTTGTACTTTCAGATAGAGAAAAAAAACGCTTAAAAATTAAACGGCAGTCTGCCTCGTTGCAGAAGAAAGAAAAAACCAGCGTGTGCAAAAGGAGCGACCAAAGAGAAAAAAGAATTTCAATTGAAGTGCCGAAAAAATTGCTGAAAATAACAATAAAGTTAGAATATATAAAAGGCATGGTTTTTTTTCTGCTCTGTGAGCGAGAGTACCCCTGTTTTGGTGATGGAATAATAAATTGCAGATTACGAGCCGTTAAAAAAATTGGTCGAAAAAAAATGGAATTTGTTGAACAGCAACAGTTCATGCATTGAAAAGTCGAAGAGCGAAAAAAAAACACCCACACACAGCATACGCAACTGCGTTGCCATTTGGAATGAGGTGTGATCTGTGGTGCGAGACTAGAAAAACGAAAATCATGTGCGTCATGATGATGCAAAACCTACCTCACCATGTGAGCTTTTTTGCTTTCTTTTTTTGCGTTCTTTCTCCCATTCTGGTACCAAAAGTCAGAAGAGAGAGAGAGAGAAAAAAAAAACAATGAAGATGTAGTAAATTTATTCCCAAATCTATGGTAATTTTATTCAAAATATTAAATAATACACTAAAGTCGCGGCAGTGCGTCGTATGTATGCTTTGGAGAGGGAGTGTGTGTGTGTCAGAGGGTACGGAAAATTTTGCTTTGCATTGAGATGGCACCATTTTGATGACAAACGGTTCCATCAACCATTGACTCAGCGTAATTTTGTACTGTTTTTTTCTGCTTCTTCTTTCAAAAAATGCCGTGCCATTTTTTTTCAGAAGAAAAGATGGGGTGGTGCCTGTTAAGCCTAAATGCATTACTATAATATCGACACAGAGAAGCATTTTGGAATTGCTCAAACAGCATTGCCGTGGAGATAAAGTTAATGGATGAGGAAAATCGGTTCATTCTGTTTGAAGTGTATTGTTTGGGGGAATTTCGGTGAATTTGGTCGCTTTTTTTCAGTCAACAGCTCGGTTTTTTTTCGGTGTGGAAAGAAGGGGAAAAAAAGAGAAGATGAAACAATTTGCAAAGATAATTTTAGTTGGCGTTGCCATCACAAACAGGAGCGTTTAATCAAATCATAACAGTACATCGAACGACCTCACCGCATACCGAAAGAGAGAGAGAGAGAGAGAGAGAGAGAGAGAGAGAGAGAGAGAGAGAAAGAGCTATACACAGTAATAAAGGATAAACCACAAGGAATTTTATCACTTCAATCTCATTTCATCTGCACGTTGGTGTATGCGAATGGGCCTAGCTAGAGAGACACATACACACACAGAGCACATTCAGTGTAATGCGAGCGAATGGCAAAAAAGCGAAAACATTTATTTTAGTGTGGAAATCTTTCAGCCGATTAAAAAAGATTCCTGGAATAGCGCAGCCAACGAAAGCGTCGAATGCATGATCAAACTTGAATAACAGTCAACTCAAAGACAAAAGGTACTTCCGTTTCATAAACCACCGCTGGCACACTCACACACCAAACAATACAACACAATCCAGTCTCACTCTTTCTAGACGCTCTTTCGTTTTCACTTTGCGTTCTTTTTTCAATTACGTGTCATTAACGTAAAAATAATGCGCGCGCGTCCGCACATCTATTGTGAAGCACGCTAGATGAACGTGCATAGCATCCAACACTTGATAGGCAGATGTGTTAATAATAAGAATAACGTCGTTTTGGTGAAAAAGAAGAAGAGTGCCAAAATGAATTTGTACCGAAAACAATGGGTGAGCCAGTCAGCGAATGAGTCTTGAACAAAGTGAGCTCGAGAGTCTGTTAAATTGTGTACGTTTAGCAGTTTTTGGATTGATTTTTTCTTTTCTTCCACTTCTACTTCACCCTCTCTCACTTTCGTTCGTCAATTTCCTCAGTATCTTTTGTCGACATACGACTACACACCTCACCATATTCTAACCGTAACCGAAACAATTTTCGCATTATTTAACGTATTTGTTTGTGATGTCTATTTAACGAAAACTGGATAAAGGAAGAGGCGGCAAGCAAAAACGATTGGTCTCCCACAAGCTGCTATTTGTACACATTTATTTTGTATAGATATGTACAAAAATGGCTAGATTAAGTATGGGATCGACGACGATGGCGACAACAGCAACAACATCGACGAGGACGATGAAAAAGAGAAGAATGCCGAACACACACTGGTTTAATGAAGAGTCGAAGCGCGCAGTATGTGTTTTGCTCGCACGCCATTGATAAAATTCAATTAGGTTCAAAGTAATGTTCCTTTCCATGCCATTGAATTTAAAGCTCTCAACTCTCTCTCTCTCTCTCTCACTCTCATTCTTTCTCTGCTTCACTCTCTGCTGCTGTTGTTGCCGACGACAACGGCGACTGCGGGTGTGTATTGGACACTACTTCGTATCTCGATTTTTCTCAGGGTGTGTGCCTGTGTATGTGTCTGAGTATGTTTTTGTTTTTGCGTGTTAACATGCCAATGATTAGATCGTCGGGCGAAAGCAACAAAAGACTCACCCACCGAGAATCACGGAGCAGCAGCAGCAGCAGCAGCAGCTTGAGAAAAACGGTGAAAGTAATTTTCGTTGAAAGAGAAGTGCATACGAATAAGTACACACACAGTGCTTTGTTCTAATCAGATATCAATGAGGACAAATAAAGGCGCTTCCTTGTGTCTCAGTCCGAGCAGCAACGTCGTGACAGCAGCAGCAGCAGCATCATTGTCGAGCTTGTTTGACCAAAGCCAAAACATACGCTAGCAAACACATACACACACAAGAAACAATAACCGTATCTTTTGGTCGTCGTCTTACGATGAAAATGAAAAAGAAGCCATAAAATCTCCCAAACACGCACCGATAACCATTTTGATAAGAAAAAGAGTCAAGTGTTAGAGAGCACAACAGCACTGTGATGTGCCACTGCCATACACAAACACACACACACACACACACGGAGAACGAGAAGACAAACACATTAAATTTGATTAGAAACTCTCTCGGGTGAAACACGAACAAGTGGAAGTTTTTGCAATCGAAACGTGTATATAAATTAATTTGGTAGCGACTCTGAGTAAAACACACAGCGAAATAGAGGGAGAAGGAAGAGACAGATACACACGCCAACGTATCATCATTGCAACGACTGAGAATGAAAAAAAAGCGAACAAAAGTAGAAACGTGCAGGCCGAAAGCAGCCCTTTCTCGTTTGGAATTTTAACGCATCGCGCGCTCGCGCTCGTGCGCCCATGAAAGATCATGTTTAGCGATGGACAAATGGAATTTCATTGAACATTTTAGCCACATTGTGGAAACTTTTTATTATTTGTTGTGTGTTACCATTTGCGTTGTGGTGATGATGGAAAAACCAAATCAACGAAGCCCATTTCCTTGTCTCTCACTCTGAAACAGAAAGACATAGCAAATGGCCACCTCTCACTTAACTTCATAAATAAAGTTTGTATGCACAAAGAGCTGAGTTAAAAAAGAAAAGTTTTATTTTTCGCTTCGTGTTGTTTTTTTTTATATATATGTATTTGTTTTTGTTTACGACACAATAATGTTATTAACTATAAAACTGGATGGCATTTCGATTGATTATATTTTCGTTGGTTGTTGTTTTTTTTAGTCGGAATGTACTTCAATTTGTAGTTTATCGCCACCGTCTTTGGTGCGAGCTTTCAACGATTGACTGGCTGCCCGTTTGAAGCTCCATTCTACCATGCAGAAACTTATCGTACCGATGATGCCAAACACAAGCAAAATCGTCATCTGTGCATGCAATCCCAAATGCGATGAATATACAAAGCTCATTGCCGCTGCTATCGACTAATTACAAACAATGGAGAAAATACAAACAGAATTTTCAATGAAAGAAATAAAAATAAATAAATAATTCGCAAAAGAATGAAAATGAAAATTGAAAATAAAAACAAATGGAAAATATTCATTGGAACACAAATTATCGATTTGAAAATTGAAAAAAAAATGAAAACAAAATCGATTGATTTCGCTGCAACAAAACTCACTTGTGTGAACTTGAAAACAGCAAATGCGGCAACGGAATTGCTGGCAAATGCACCACCGAGCATCGAATAGATTTGTGTGTTGAAACATGCATCGCCAAAACCAAGCAATAATGAACACAACAATGCAACCCAGGCAAGTGGTGGATCGAAGAAGCCAATATCCTGTGTATCGTTGACTGCAAATAGTTTGATTAAAATGTTATTGATGGAAATATTGCGGAGCAAATTTTTGAATATACAAATTAAAAACATATTTATAATATCGATGGAAACTAACATGGTGCATTGTCGGGTAGATTCAAAAAGATAAGCAAAAAGCTGATCAAATGAACGATGAATCCGATAATAACGATGGGATCTCGGCCGTATTTTATGGTTTTTGAACCGAGCAAACCGAACAGTACGCCACCAAATATTTCACCAATTCCAATACAAATTCCAGACAAACCGACCAGCTGCTTGGCCGATTCGCCCATTTTCGATGTGAATCCAATGCTTGGGCTATACACACCACTGTAGAACGATAGCTCAAAGCCTGAAAATTTTCAACGGAAAAATAAACAAAGAGAGGCGAGAGTGAGCGAGAGAACGAAGTAAATTTCAAACATAAAATGAGAACACGAAGTATTTCAAGAATGTGTTTCGACATGCATTTGCATTCTATGCTATAGCTATACCTATAATTACCTGTATAGAGGAAAGTGATACACAACAATAGCATGTCCCGTGTAAAGAACAGTTTGATGGCTTTAACAAATGCTCCAATAATACTATTGCTATTCGATGCATAGTCTAATTCTCGGTCACGTTCATTTTCTTCGAATGTGTTATGAACACGGCGCAACACACAGAAGAATATAACACCAACGATTGCAACCGCAATGAGCGCGATAAAAACAATATGCCGTGTGTCGGCATCGATGTGGTCTTTCCCTTGGAATTGGAAATACACAAACAAATTGCCCATCAGCATGCTGTTTGGAAACGGAGACACGAAGATAGAATGAGTGAGAAATTCCAATGAAATGCACACGTACATGTGTGTGTGTGTGTGTGTGTGTGATGAGGGATTAAATGAAAAACGCACCTTGCTTGCAACATTGCCCAAAATACACCTGAATTACGTGCAATATTGGATTCATTACTGCAACGCGACAAATAGCTACCTTGTCCGGTCCAAATCAATGCTGCACCAGCTCCCAATACACCACTTGCCACATATAATAACCAAGTTTTTGGATACAAAAATGACACCATGAAAAAGCTGCAAAACACATAGAGAGAGAGAGAGATAGGCATATAGAGAGGGGGAGAACATATCATTGAGAGAGAGAGAGAGAGATATTGTAACGATGGAGGTAAGACCATTAAAAATGCAATCGAAATCGATTGTTTAGTTTCGGCTGTTGTTATGCATACCAGTATGTAAGCGAACCGATGAACATTGCGCCTCTTGGGCCACATATCGTTATTACCGATGGTGCGAGCCAATTGCATATTGCCAGCGCCGCATAAATTATCGCCAGACTAGTATATCCATCGCCTTTAAAATCTGGATCCTCGTTTGCTATACTCTGCAGGATGGTTTTCTATTTGGATTGGATCAAATTTTTCGATATTAGCCACATATTTGATTATGGATGTTTCGTTCATGTTGTCGCTGTTGCTATTGTCGTTGTTGTTGTTCGTCATGATGTCGGTCATTTACATGTTTTAATCGATTTTCGTGAAACTGTCAAACAGCAATTTGAAATGGGGGCTCCAGATAAGCCGAACGCTTCTAATTGCCTTGACATTACCACATTACAAAAACATGAGCCGATTTGGTTTTTTCCGCCCCAAAAAATCTATGTCTCGTATTTGTCGAAATGGAAGAAAAAAAAGGGCTAAACATTCTGTCGAAATCATCATCAGATTACATTCATTCATGGGCCGTCATCGCCACACGGCGGAAATTTTCCATTTTTCACGTCAAAACTGAAAAAAAAATGAATCAAAAACACACATACACACACACACACCATGAATAAAATGTATCAAATTCATTTATTGTTTTGATAAGCGTCGAAGAGTCATTTTGGGCGTTGTGTTTGAACCGATTAAATTTACTGATACAGATAAATCAATGAATTAAAGCCATTGTTAACCTAAATTGCAAAATTATATACTTGAGATCGGTCTGAATCACTGTCGGTTTAGTTTCGTTGCGAAGAAGAATCTTCGTTTACTATACACCCATGCAACAGTGAGTGCGTCCGTTCGTTCGTTTTCGACTACACGATTGTGGCATGTTAAACATGAACCATTATTTTACATTGTGTTATCACATTTTAGCACACAGCGAGTGTGAGCGAGTGCTGAGAAAAGATTACTTTGAGTTAAATTACTGATTATTACTCAAGCACAGCGAGCTCCGATAGCCAAGTTGCTAGATTAATCCATTTCAATGAGTTGGAGCGAGAGAGAGAGAGTGACATTGTTGTCGTCACACAAGTGCACTCTTCAACGAGAAAAAGGAAACAAAGATATGGAAGGGAGAAACTACAAGCGATTCTTTTTGCGAGTGATTTGCGTAGAAATCTGTAATTAGTGCAAAGTTCGTTGTTGTCATGGAATTTGATTGAAATATGTGAGTGCGAGAATTCCATTGCAAAGTACATGCTGACCGTGCTTCTAAATTGATTGTCGCCGAAAGACTGCAATTTCATCGACTGGTTCAAGCTTATTCATTTCTACGCAATTCCATCTTTTTCGTCTAGTTTGTCGCGCATTTCATTCGAATTTGTTATCAGCATAACATGCTATGCGCGCACTAGTTCAATCGCATGAAATTTATTGTGAGGGCAAAGTATACACGAAACGGCAGCGGACGATAACTGTGTGCACTATTTAGCCAGTTTCTAATAAAATCGTGTATGTGTGTGTGTTTGTTTTTTTATTCTCTCGTCAGTATTATACGCCTTAATGCGTTCCGTCTCTATTGCTGTTCACATGTTTCGAATTTTTCGCTCTCTATCTCTTTCTCTCGCTGTCTGTCTGTCTCTCGTTTCCATCTCTTTCTCTGTCTCTGATTTTGTGTGCTGTGTGTGTGCAGCTCAAGTGCTTATAATCAAATTATGCAGACAGTTTACTAGAGACCGGTTTATATATGCTTTTTTGTGTGTGTTTCTTTGCTCCGTTTTAACGATTTTAAAAAGATTTTTTATTGTTGTACTTGATAGTGCATTTCGTATACATGTATTTGAACCGAAAAATGGCTTACGTTTATCGAATATTTTCATATTTCGCTCTTTTCTCCCGTCGCATTTGAATATTTGATCAAAACAAAAACCAAAAAAAGAAATAAACTCACATTCGATGCTCTCTTTCGCTTTAGCCAGATTTGGTGTGGAACAGCTTTTACCAGAAAACCGATTTAACGTATTAGGCCTGTGCATGCTGAAGAAGACAACGGCAACACATCGACGACACAACTTCCATATGAAGCACATTAATGGACAGTGTATGATGATGATATAACGAAATATGAACGCGTGAGAATAAAAGACTGACGCTAGCAGGTTTTTCGCAAAAGCGGGATAACAATCAGTTGCACGCAAAAGAGACATTTCAAAAGGTTACACGCAAACGGAACATTTTATTTTGTCGCATTTGGAATTTTAAAGCCGTGATTACAACAACAATATACTTCTCTCTTGCGTGCAACCTTTTGAAATGTCTCTTTTGCGTGCAACTGATTTTTATCCCACTTTTGCGAAAAACCTGGTAGCGTCAGTCTTTTATTCTCACGCGTTCATATGCACATTAAAATCCGTTTTTAGTGTGAAAATGATTTTAATTTTGCTCTAGTCGTTGTCGTCGCTAACGACCAGCCTCTCATCATTTGCATACGCTTTCTACATCTCATTCAAGTTTGAATGATTCAACAACAGACGCGCACACCAACGTCAAAACATTGATGACCATGATTTTCTCTGTCACACAAACGAGCACAATTTGGCTTCAGAACATTTCTGTCTCAATTTCTGTTTCGGTTTTTGTTTGTTTTGCTTGGGCTTGGGCTTAGAATCGAAAAACCGACGTAACTATTGCAAATACGGAGTGAGCTACCAAATGCATTTTAATTTCGATTAATTCGATGCATATGCATTTGAATGACTTTTGCCAGACCAGAATAAAAAAAAAACATAATGCAGATGATATTTCCATACAAATGATTTCAGTTTTTCAATAATCACCAAGCCTTCCCGTGTGATGATGTGTTTTTTTTCCATTCTCATCACTGGGCACTCACACAAGAGTAATTAACAGAGTGAGCAATAAGTGATAATTGGAAGATTACGTAACATCGTTTTTTTCCACTCTGGATTTGATTAAATGAATTTGGCTGCTAAAATTAAATGAAATTTAATTTCACTTCAGTTTTATTTGGTTTAATTATTCCAACTCATTTTACTGAAATTTCGGGTGGGTTGTATCGGTGTGATGATGTTAATTTACATTTTGAGTGAAATGATTTGAAGTGGCTAAAATTTATTCCATTTTTATTTTTAATGAGAAATGAGAAAAAAAAAACAACAACGACGACGACAAAACAAGTTATTTTCCATTGGAATTTGGGTAATTCTGACAGTTCACGCAAAAATGTGGTCTTTTACATTTAGAGGTAGATTGGCATGAAGGTCTCGCATTGTGTAAAGAAAGAATCATTTATGAAGGACAAGAATGAAAGAACAAATTATGAAAAGGATTGTTTTTTTTTTTAATCAAGAATCAAAAATTTCAATAAAAAATTAGAATGAAGAAAAAAAGCCAAACTCGATCGACCAAACCGCCATTACATGCATCTATTGGTCATATTACATTTTTGTGTTATCAAGTCAAAAAGACGGAATGGCATTATGATGGTGCTGGCATTTAATATCGATTAGAATTTCAATATACAATATGTATTTGGTTGGCAAAAAAAAAGGCAAACAAAAACCAATAAAATATTCGATAGTCGGGTGGCATAATAGACGCAAACGAGCGATAAAAGTCTGGTGGAACCGGCTGTTTGTGTTTTGTTGTTGTTTGTACAGCACAATGAAAGTGAAACTGTAAACCACAAAAATCATGAAACAAAAAAAACTAGTCGGAGCCAATCCAAAATCAACTAACCTGTATGAGTGAATAGAAAAAAAAACAGAGAATCGAACACAATATCGCATATAGCTTACATAGCTTACGATCTGATTGCATCAAGAAATATACCTAGCACAGTAAAACGAAAGAAGCGAATTGTATCGAAAAATATGCGAGCAAGAATGAGAGAGAGGGAGAGAGAGAGAGAGAGACAGATAGAGTGAAAGAGTAAAGAAAAATGTGTATCGGAAATGATTTTTAGTCGATGTCGTTCAATGAACTAGTTGCACAGCAGCTTGATTTACGAGTGCGAGGTGTGTGTAACAACAATTTCATACGTCATTATCAACAACTCTTTGCCCACATGAAATCAATGTATAATGTGTGTGTGCTGTGCGTCTCTCTCACCATTTATCAAGCAATCATTATCTGCGGCCCATAGTTGTTTCACTTCTTCACTCATTTCCAGTAAACACTTCTGAAAACAATACGCAACAATTACGTGCGTACACGCAAAGTGCATTCCATGCGTTCAATAAGCATTCACATGAATTATACAGATGTGTTTTTTTCTGTTCAGTGAGTACATAAGAGGGAGAGATGGAGAGAAAAAGAGAACGAAAGAAAGAATGAGAGACTAGTAAGAAGGGCTACTTTCACATTTCGAGCGAAAGATGCACACGATGTGATTTTTTACGCTAAGGGCAAACGGTTTTCAGCACAGAAATTTTCGAATAATTCTCTTTGTGTTTGTCTCTGTCTCTGTCTCTATCTCTATCTCTTTCCCTATCCATTTCACTCTGTCTCTTTCGGTATCTCTCTCTTTCTCTCTCTCTGTGCCGACTTCACTAAAAAAATCTAGTTCGAACGAATAGTTCAGCCATGAATTTTTTCTGTTTCGTTCTGCAATAGTGTAAACAAACAAATCAAATGGTTTGCAATGAGTCTGAGCAATTACGCATCGGATTTCACGCTGATTTAGCAATGAATTTTTGTATTTATTTTTCATTCTGTCCAATGTATTTAGATTGTGACACCAATCAACACACTATTTTGTTTTTGTTTGTCGCCCTTTTTTTCTACTATTCAATTCTGTGTGATAACACGATTCGTCGCTTTGTTTTGATAACAACATCCCCATACATTTTGACCGTCATCACAAAAACGATAAACAGGTCAAAACGATTTCATTTGAAACAATAAATGCATTTGAAATTCTTGCGTCATTTTGTCGGTTGAAAACAATAATTTGTGAATGATAAAGCCATTTCGATTGGAATAAAAATAATAATTTCTCGATAGAAAATGTCAAAGGAAGGCCACTTATGGTTGAAATAAATAAAACATTTCTCTCATCAATAGGGAAAAAAAGTTTGTCCAGAACAATATGAAGGGAAAAAAAAACATTTTTTTTTTGTTAAAAAGATCGAGTTTAGAAAATGTTGATGGTCATTTGGTCGTTTACGATCGATTTTTGCTAAAATACATTTAATTTCGCGATGATTTTTCTATGATGCGTAGCATTTTCACGAAAGAGTTCTGTTTACCTCGATGTTTCCCATGGTCTGGAAGGCGGTAAACAGGAACATAAACCCGAACCCAAGAAATAGCACGTTCACAAATTTTTTATCCATTTTGAAATTGTTTTTCTCTTCAGCTTTGCAATGAAACGAATGTCACAGTTGAATTTAACAAAAAAAAAACTATTATTCTACGTTAAGATAGCCGCACGTTGATAAACACCGAATGAACTTAGGCAACTAACAACACAGAAAAAATTGTCTATTGAAACGAAAGTGCACGTCAATTAAAGTTGACTCCGCAACAATGACGGAAAACAAACGGAAACTTAAACGTACCGGAACAATAAAACAGAAACGAATTTGACGCACGTGTTTCACATATTTAAGAGGTTTTGATGATTTGAACACCTCGCGCGAACTAAATCAGTTCTGTGCGCATCAAGCGCACAATATTGTTTTTCGAATCGTGCTCAATGGGAATCGGTTTATTATATGTTGTGTGTTTCTGTTTTTTTCTTCTGTGTGTGGTGATGTGCCCCTTCTCTTTCTTCGTTTACGATCAACGGCCAACAATTTTTGTATTTTCAATTGGAAGTATGTGTGTGTGTGTCTGTCACTCTTGCACACCGCATATCAATGCATGAAATATTGATATCTCTCTCACTTATTGTTGACGGTTTATTTATTTTTTTTTTTCGTCGTTTTTTATCACGATCCCAAAATCGGCTCTTAATATTGAAACGGAGCAACAAAACAGAAAAAAGAAGAAGAAAAGCACCGAACGTCAGTGGGTAAAATAAAAAGATATTTACGATCGAATTAAAGCGATTTTGTGTTTGTTTTTTGGGGCGAGAGTGAAAACAATTGGTACAAATTTGACCTAAAACTACGACACATAATCATCACCAATTTTTAACACATTTTTTTTATCGTTCGGTCGCGATCAAAGCCAAATCATCATTGTTGCGCGCTTTAAGTGTTTTGATCACATTTTTTTTCTATCTGAAATAAAAAAAAAAACACAACGAATATATTTCGTAGCGAAAAATAAAATGACCGTTTATATAGCACACTCATTCAACTCGTTGAGGCTCACGAACAGAGAGACGATAAAGCGAGCAACAACGCATAGAAAGTTTAAGACCAGTTCAGTTCTTTCTATGTGGTGACTGCCACTTAGAAACACATTGAACTAGAGGCGCGATACGGTGGGAGCAGCCGAAAAGTAGACAGAGCGAGAGTGTTGCGAGGGAGGGAAAGATAGAGAGAGAGAGAGAGAGACACACACACACAGCAAAAAGTAAAACATGAAGAGAATGTCACAAACTGCATTATTGTTATTGATTAACTAACTATAAAATTAATGTGTTGTGTTTGGTTTGCTGGCGGCTTCTGCCCTTCGCTGCTGCTGATTTCTATGTGTTTCTTCTTTGCGGCGTTCAACCATAACATTTTCAGAATGCGAAATGAGCGACCGCACGCGCCCCCAATGCACACACTTTTTTCTGCTATAAATTGTTGTCGATCAATTTCAATTGAGTAAATACCAGTTTGAACTTTGATGAGAAGTTTTGCTGTTGATACACTACATTGACGGCATTATTGCTTACACGCATTTATAATCGGAGTCGGTAGTATGAATTGGACTCGACATATTTTATTGCAAATCATCGTTAAAATCCCATGACCAAAAAAAAAACTGGACGCGAGACTAACCAGCCGAATAAAGCTTTGTGCCGACAGCAGAGCAACTACAGCAGAAACCACAACATCATCATCAGTCGACTTTTCAAACGTTTGCACAGAAAAGAGACGGAGAAATAGATAAATTGGTCTCTTATATAGAAACATTTCAACGGTAGGCTACAAACTGTCTGCCGCATACATTGCGGTGTTGCACATTGCATTACACATCAAAGAGACTGCATCAAAAGTGCACTACACAATGTACTATACACGCATACATGAGCCGCACACTGACCAATGAACCATATCGCGCGCATCATGCACTCACATTTTGCACACAATTCAAAAATTGCATTGCCGCAATTCAACTGATGAACAACAATATTTCTTCATTTTTCATTGAATTTGGCCATTGCAAAATGCACCATCAAAACTTTTTGATCCATTGAATCGTTGAGTATGTCGTTTTCAATTGGAAATTGAGCTCAAAAACAGAATTTGAAATGAAAACAACAACAGCAACAAACAAATGAATCGAAAAACGATCAACTTTTATTGCGTTTCCACTCTACAGTTAATAACGATCAAAGTAATTGCTGCACAAAACGGAATGCAATCGGCATGTCAATGGAAAAACAATTGAAAGACTCTAGTAAATCGCTAACAAACCGATTTCGATTTTTCGATCGAAATCGCTGCTCAACGGAATTTCTATTCCCTTTACAAACACACAAATAACGACGGGGAGCCCGAATGAATGTCAGACTCTCTCTCTCTCTCTCTCTCTCTCTCTTTCGCGCTCACAATTTTGCTTTCATGAATATTGGGTTCCGTTTTCATTTCGTTCAATCGTTGCTTTGCACGAAAGCTAACAGGCAATAAACAACGGCTGCAAAATATAAATATTAGCAAATCGATGATGTGATGCATCACTTCACCCGAGAAAGAGAGAGAGAGAGAGAGAGAGAGAGAGAGAGAGAGAGAGAGAGAGAGAGAGAGAGCGTTAGAACGGGCAAGTTTTGCATGGTCGAATTTCAATGAGATGAATCCATCGAATACACGCACACAGACACACCAACGCAGCAAAGGGGGTGGCATTACAAAATTCGCCGGCCATAGTTTCATCTTTGCGCGCCAGTAATCTTTTCCAAACTTATAATGTTTACGTTCATTAGGTTCAAGTCCATTAAATAGTTTGTGAAGCGCGCCAGCTACAGGGCTCTGTGGGCTTGTGCATCAATATTGAATGGATGGTTCCTCTCCGGAAAGCGTCAATCCATTTCAGCTTGATTACATCCTTTTCAACCATTCACATACACACACACACACACACACTGAATCCCGACAATCATTCTTGACCAATGCTGAATTTGATGCTATTTCGCATTTAGGCTACATTTAGGCGCGCACAATTGTGAGGTTTTTCGTTTCTCATTGCTGTTTTCTATTTAAAAGCGAACATTGTTTGCACATCACTCAACATATCAAGCGGCTAAACTACCAATTTTCCGTATCCATTGTATAAAATGCATCTATGTTGTGTTGTATGAACGAAAAAATATTTTTTTTTCCTCCAAAAAATTCAATCTCTATGTGCGTTTGATACGTTCTTGATATGTGTATTGGCTCAATCGAATCGATTATTGTTTTTTCATCCATTTGTTTGTTTGTTTATTAATTATTATATTTCAAGTTCAATGGACAAGTGGTGTGTGTGTTTTTGAAGTTTCAGATATGAATTAAAATCTCAAAGTCCTCCAATAATTCCATAAACAAATGAAATCATAATAGCAAAATGGATGTGAGTAATTTCTGAAAATACATTATCCAGAAGAGTAAAAAAACACACATACACATAATTGTACTGTGCAGTGCAGTGTAGTGCAATAGCAAAGAGTAAATAGCATTTGTTTCCATTTCCAGTCTAACGAGCAGCATTAATTAAGTTTGCGTTCAACAGTTGGATTTGCATATAGAATTTCTGTATTTGGTTAGATTCAATCGGTTTGTATATTGTCCATGGTTTTGCTTGCATCAAACAGGGAGAGAAAGAGAGAGAGAGACAGGTATAGAAATGGAAAGAGGGAGAAAATTTTTTACTCTACCGCACGAATCATTTCCACAAACACAATGCCAAAAATGAAAACAAACGTGAGGTCAAACGAATTTCTTGGTTGTTATTGGTTTTAATAGTCAAATTTATTATCTGAATTTGAAGATTAGCATTGATAGCATTTGAATAAATAATATGTTGAAATTGTTTTTTTCCCTGTTGAATCATTCTAAAGTTTCAATACAAAATACGCCCCTATAAACTGGCATCATATGCGCCATCATATAAATTTTAGCTTTTTTCATCTTTTTCTCTCTCTCTCTGAAATCATTCCTATGAATCGAGAGATAAAAGGCACGGTTGTTTAAACAAGTTTTTGTTTAAAGCCAGCCGGTTTTTGGTTGACGTCTTATCGTGGTGACATCGGTCACCTTGCGACTAGTGGGACGCAATGTTGGTGGTGAACCAGCCGCTTGATTTGCTTCGCTGGATGGTTCACTGGATTTGACCAAACTTTCCGAGCTGCTCGTGAGCGAGTCCATCGATTGCGGTGCAAATGACGAATTAATGGATGCTAGAGATTTTGGTGGTGGTGGGGTTGGTGATTTTCGGGGCAATGGCGATGCTGGACGTGGCAATGGTGACGGTGGTCGTTCAACCACCTTTGCAGGAGATGGTGGACGTGCAATAAATGGTTCTGACTTTGAGGAGAAACCAGATGTGGTCGGCATTTGGATTTTCAACGGTGGTGGTGGTATCATTCCCTTGCTGTGGTCAACCTTAGTGACAACCGGGCGAGATATCGAAATATCGCGACCATCACTTATTGGGGCCGGAGCACGACGTTTAATCACCTTTGGTGCTCCTGCCTTCGGCTTTTCGTTCACTGAAATTTGGAGAATTGAAACCATTAGAATTTTTCATGTTTTCACTTTTTTTCTTTTTTTGACTCGTTTCGAAATTGAATTGCGTTGGAAAAATTGTTTACGTGAAAATAAAATAATTGAATCTTACTTTTATCTTCTTCCAGTTCTTTAGGTTTTACCCATTTCTCATCTATGGTCGACCGATTTGATTCGGTACGAGTGATTTGAATCTCGGGTAATGGAACAATCGGTTTGGATGTTGGACATGGTGAACGAGCTCCGCTAACACTTGGTTCACCAAATGATCCACTTGAACCGATCGATGTGATTGATTTACGCCCTTTCACTTCAGGCGATTTTGATTTTGGTGATTTCATTTCAGGTGTCTTCACGCGACCACCAATGGGTGATGTCGACGCTGGTGGTGGTGATTGTACAACGTCTTGGCCTCTGTTTTTGTACACACCCAAAAAAACACATGAAAAATTTTATTCCAGACTCGATTCAGAAAAATAATATATCAATCAAAGAATTGCAACTGTAATTGCAATCTTCTAAAATGTCCAGAAATCTTGAACAATCGAAGGAAATTTGTCTAAAAACCAAGCTTATCTTTTCCAAAAATCAATTGTTTAAAAAGATTTCTAGAAAAATAAAGTTAAGAAAGAACGAATAGTTCAAGCAATTTAAACAAAAGAAAACCGTACCTAGCATCAAATGATCCAGAACGTGAACGCGTTTTCATTTTATCCAATTCGTTGCTAATTTGCGACAAAGTCGATGAAATGGATTGTCGTTGTTTTTGATCGTCAATCTTAGCCATACTTTCGGCCAACTGCACAATGTTTGGTGGCAATGGTGACGGTGCCTTACTACCGATCATTGCGTGCAATTGCAAAATGGAATTCTCCCGTTCTTGTTTGCTTGGTGATCGAGAGCCGGGGTATTCGCCAATTTCTTCGCTAATATTCTTCAACAGTTCGAGTAAAGTGTTTGTCGTTGGATCGCTGTACTCGAGTGGAGTGCATGGACGCGATTGGATTGGACTATGTTGAACCAAACGTTTCGCTTCACTCATTGCCTTCGCCAGATTCTGTTGGTTTCGGAAGCTGTTACGGTTGCGACATCGACCGATTTGGGTGTCTGTGACACCCTGTACAGCTGCCGACCACTTATGTGTTGCGGTCGATTGGACCACTTCATGGGCAACGCGACGGAATCGTGCCAATCCCTTTTCATTCACTTTATCCGCATCTTCACCTTCGGCACCACCTTCGGACGGTGCAACATGGAAATCTTTCATCAAACGACGTTCCCACACCTTCATTCGCTTAGCCAAATGAGATTTTTCCTTTTTGTCAGCCGTCGAAATGTCCATGCCATTCCGTTCAAACACCTCAAGCAATTCGTATCGCATGGCCGAAATGTCTCCCTTCACTTCGTTGATATCGTCTTCAGTCACGGTTTCATCATCCATTCGACGATGCATTGCCGATACATAACGCCATACCAACGATCTAATCACATTTGTATATCGATTTTCTCGGTCTTCTCGTCGACGCTATAGAAAAACAACAGAAGGAGAAAAAAGACAGAAATGTGTAAGCAAAAATCCATTAATTAAGTGAGAAATAAATTAAAAGTTGATCCATTACAATGGTTGAGCCGCGTTTGATTTCGCGAGTCTTTTTGCTTCTGAATAATCGCGTAATCCATTTAACCGATGGCAAAATATTGAATGGTGGAGGCAGAGTACCACTTTCTTCAAAGTAGCTCATCCACAGCTTGGTACGCGCGAATTTCCATTCAGTATCAGAATGTTCCTATAAATAGACCAACAAACAAACAAATTAGTTGCAATTTGCACAAATGACGATGGAAATGGAAAAAGGAATGAAAGAAAACATAATGAAATGAATGAGAAACAAGTGGAATGAGAGACAAACAAACAAACAAAAATACCCACATCAATCATTGCATACGAGTTGGACATCATGGCAATAAGCAGGTTCAATAAGACGATTACGTTGATCACACTGTATGAACCGAACATGAGAAGACCCCAGAACCGGGTGTACGATTTAATACCTTCGAGTTCGAACGTTTCCAATCCAACCATACCGAAACTGGCCCAAAACAGTGACTGCGACGACTCGAATAGACTGTAAACAGAGAGAAATGTGTACATCGTTCAAATTGTGTGTTTTTGCAAACGTTTCGAATGCATTTTTCAATTAATTTTCCCAATTTTTTCAATTTTTTCTTTTAGTTTTTCTTTTTTCTGATTTGACAAAACAAAACTCTTTTCTTCGGAATTTTTCATCTTACTTTCCAAACCGACGCCACTTCATACACGCATCACCCTGATTTTCCCAATCTGCCATTCCATTTGGTTTGTCATAGCATTTTGAATGTTCCAAATCGGCAAAGTACCACAGCAGTTGGTTCAAACCGCAAGCGAATGCGAACAGTACGAGCGAGTAAATGAAGAAGAACTTGACGATATCGATAACCATTCGGCCGAGAGAAATTTGCAACGGTCCCAAATGGGGATTGATCGAAAACAAGTGAACCAATTTAATGGCCGAGAAAATATTGGCCGCAGCAAACAGACCCTCAGCAATCAATTGTGGATCGAAATCATCCCAGTGTTCACGTGGAATGTAGGCTGTACTGGGATCCTTTGAAATTTCCGATGTTTGTTGAATGTAGGCAATAAATCTGTTTAACGAAATTTAGGAGAGAGTGAGAGAGTAAAAAATATGTCGAATTGTTGCTTAATTAACGACATAAAAGCAGATTCATCATTGTGCCGGATCGGCGCAGATGTGCGTACGGAATTTGTGGTTTCACACATACCTCAGCAAAGCAACCAGACAATAAAGTGAATTTCGCGAAAAGTCAATGAAATTCCACATGTTTCGTAAGTAGCTGCGAATTCCTTCGTTGAGAATCTCTTGCGTTTCTTCCCATATAAAGCCAACGACATACAGCAGGACGAGCAGTTCAAGCGGTGACGGTCCATTACCACGCTGTCGTCGCAACTGCTCCTCCATACTTTTCCTCATACTTTCCGTCCCAAATAGTAATATCGCATGTACCTCCGCTCTTTGTGACACCAAAATCAAAATGACTGTGTCAAAAGAAACAACGATCATTTTAATGAGCCAACATTTTCATATGGGGGGAGTGGGAAAAGGGGGGGGAGCACATATAGTTTATAGACACTTACACAAGAAGAACAAATAAGACGAAGCGTGAATCAAGAATTTCATAAATGGTTTTCGCATCAGTTTGGCACTACCGCATTCCGGTGCTAGCATATACATGAGACAGTACAATGGGAAGAATACAACCACACGAATGATGATAAACATTTTCTCGGCAGCTTTCTTACGACGAAAACCGGGTACACCTTCATACCAAAGTGCTGCCAAAAGTTGTTGAATATTTGGATGAGCCACAAACTAAACGGGGAATAAGTGTTTTTCTTTCGCATTTTATTTTATATTTTTTTTCGTCTCTTCTTTGAGTTGGTTTCTGTTTTTCAGCCAAATTTGTTGGTGCTCCTTCACTCTGTATTTTTTTTTTCTTTTTTTCTTCACAGAAGTAAAGTGTTTACCGATTCACCTACCTTCTTTTGTTTGTACTCAATCGCAAGTTCCAATCGTGCCAATTTCATGTGATCACCATCGGCGTATGGTGGTGCCTCTGGATCATGATTCAAAATGATGGCCAATTCCTGTGAGCTACGCGATTGATCCAATAGATCCACAGCGAACTGTTGACATTGACGACGCAAATCCAAATATTCCGATTTGCATTCCTGTTCGGCAAAGGCCAAATTACGCAATTCCCATGACAATCGGAACGCGGTCAACAGGGGATCGGTTGAGCTGAGCGCAATCAACGATGGACTGGCCAATGCACGATATTCATTCACACGGCTCAATGAGAATCGCAACGAATCCTCGGATGATTTTCGAAGACAATCATCACAACCGCATCTAAAATCGAATGAAGAACCAAGTTGTTTTTTTTTATCGGTAAAAATAGAAACGAAAAGGGTAAAAACACACGTACCGAATATCATGTGGAGTTGGAACGGTTGCACCACGATCCAAGAGAATTTTCAAAATTTCATAATTATTTTTATGCGCAGCTAAAATCAATGGTGTTATATCCGGTGTAAACATGCTCGTATTCACGTCAACTTTTTGCCAACTCTACAATTTGGTTTGAAATAAAACATTTGGTTATTGAATCCAATGAACATCGAGATTTTAAGAGCAAAACTACCAGCACTGTCATTGAATTTATACTCACGTATAGTTCGCCATCCTTATGAATAAGTTCCTCGTGCTGCGTGCAATGTCATTTCAATAAAGTTAGTTTCAAAATGGCATAATTGAACGGTTTGAATGGTTTCTATTGTTTAGGATTCGAACAATTTTTGTTCGTCCAACATTTTCTTTCTTAATGACCACTTTTGAATTGTTTTCTAATTTCAGAACAAACCTCTAAAAGAAGTTCTACAGCCTCAACGAATTCGGCGTTAATTGCAATCAGTAAGGCATCTTTTGTCTCCACCGACATGATAACAAGCAATTCAACCATTTCTAAATGCTCTGCGTCGATTGCAATCGTAAGAGCGCCTCGCCCTAGCGAATCGAAACAGTTGATATCGAATGTTTTTTTACGGTGCGCTCGTTGTAGCATACTGAAAATGTTTACGATTCATTTATTGTCTATGAAAATAGTGAGCTTTTTAAGTGCTTTGAATACAGTTTTTCTTCTCAAACAGTCAGATTTTGGTGTGTTTTTTTTTTCAAATTGAAACTTTAATCAAATAAAAAAATGCTTCTAAAAACACTACTTAACAAGGAAAAAGGGAAAAAAACATCAGTGATGTTATACTACCGAAAAATTTACGAATAAATCAGCACTTCAAAGCAAAAGCCCATTAATAATTCAAAAAAAAATGCTCACCGTCGCACGTTAGCCAAGTCTCCTCTTTCGACAGCTAGTAGATATTTCTTCTCCTCCAGTGAAAGTGGTTTTGGTAAGACGCGCACACATGATGACATATCAAGACTGGCCATCGATGGACGTGGTGAATTGCATCGGGATGGAGCGTCGATTTGCAGACCAACCTAAGCAATTGTTTTTGTTTAGAAACCACAAATTTCATAATAACTTCATTCAAAACATTATTTTTAAATCAAAAGTAGATTCTAAATGGGGAAAAATTCAAATTTAAATTCACTTTAGTCCAAAGTGAGTCATTTAAACGATGATAAAATATTAAAGCAGTTTTCAATTACTTTTTGTTTTGATTTTTTTTTCTATGAGAACAAAAGTATTTAGTGATTTTGAACATGAAAGAAACGCTTCCTATGGAAAAATTTAATTCCAATTCCTTGATGTCTGGCTAAGTGAGACGAAATTACATCGAATTATCCCCAAATACAAAATGTACTTCACCAGATGGAATCCATTTAAACTTTAATGTTTATCAGTCAATGAGAAGAAGAAAATATCACAAACAATGTTTATTATTCCATTCTTTTTCCATTTCAAAATGGGAAAGGTCGTTTGCCTACGCTAAATAAGCATTTTTTCGATTTTATCGATCTCTAAATTGATTTCCATCGTTGCATATCTTTGATGTAAAGCGGTATTATCATTCAAATTCAGGTGGATAATATCTTAAAAATTCAGCTGAATTTCAAATTCTGGCAATGCTGCACGAGAAAAAAAATCAATTTCTTTGTCCGTCACAAATTGGTCCATTCTTGTGTATACAAAGAAAATTAAAGTTCAGGTAGTGGAAATTCGGTTTGATTTGCGATATGGGCCGAAGAAGTGGAACATTCGAACGATTCGGCAAATGTGCACTGAACCGAGAGAGCGAAAAAAGGAAAGAAATCACATTTCCGAGTGCTGTATGTTTTTGTTTGGGGATGAAGATTCGCTTGCCCATTTCCATAATATCTTGTTTGCATAAGTTTGGGCATTTTATAATCTTCCGTCGCCCATAATCACATGCACTTGACTTTCGTCGCCAATAAATGGCGCATGAATTATTAAGAATGCAATGAAAGAAAAAGAAAAAAAAAACAGACGATGCGAAAAGTTGTGTCCTGTGTGTTCAAGTGCCATTAAAAGTTGATTGGATTTTGTATGTTTGTATGCGGAAAGTGGCCAAAAACTCATCAATTTCCCTGCAAACATATACGTTGTAAATATGTGAATAGACACTTACTGCGCCCGAGCCGGAGCCTTTCTTGTGAGCCATGTTTGTGGATTGCGCGCGTTTTACTTTCGAACGGCGAACGAAAAAAAAAAACGAATAATAATTCCCGTTTTTCTTTGCAGTCAGTTGGTGTTGTGTGAGAGTGTGATCACAAAATATTTTCTGTCTCTTTTATCCAGAATGTGGTGGATGCTGTAGGAATGTGCTTGCAGTTAATCTGAGTTCATTGCTTCATTGCTTCATTGCTTCATAAGAGCCATGATAAATGTATGATTCCAGTTCACGCATTAAGCGCACATATGATTCATTGCAACTGTAATGATGCACATAATCCAACCGGGTCACAACAAGTAGAAGAGAAAAATAAAATAATAATAGAAATTCTGTTGTTTTGGTCGTTGTCGTCGGGAAAGAAAAAAAAATAACGTGGACTGCGCTCAATGTGCCTCCCGTATTTCGATTTTTATTTTTCTGTTTCTTTCAGTTTTTTTTTCTCTCTTCGCTTTCTTCACTTTTGATTAATGATTTAGTTCTTTACTTGGTCGTTCTTCTTATTTGTTCCTATTCACAAACATACATATAGATAAATTTTTCACTTTTACTTCCACCAAATTTGCGCGCACAATATTTCCGTTTGGCTGCACTCGACAAGCGTTTTATTTTCGTTCTCCATCTCTCTCTTTCCACTCTGTCATTCTCTCTCTCTCTCTCTCTCTCTCTCTCTCTCTCTCTCTCTCTCTCTCTCTCTCTCTCTCTCTCTCTCTCGATCGCTCTCTTTCAATCCCTCTGTACAATTAAATTGAAGGCCGCGAACACTTAACTTTTGTGCTAGCGAATGTTGAATTTTCCAAACCGTGGCTGTTCATAACTGTCTCATAAAATAAATCAGCCTCGCTGACAATCGAAGTGATAAAGTGGATACAAATATTTGAGTCATACACATGTACCGAACAGTACATTGTACAAATAAGTACAGTCTCGAATGGAGATACGTATTTTTATGACATGATACTTTGGAAAGTGGGAGAAATCAAAAGAAAAGCGACATTTTTTTTCTTATTCCAATGATGAGTGTGTCATTTTGTTAGGGTACAAGTGCATCAGAGGGTTTCAAAGCGGAAAAGAATGATATTGTCGATTTCTGCGGCTATTGTTCTCTATTACACATCAACATAATGAGTTCTTTCCGAAAATGCTTGAGTCAAATCGTCATTTACCAGTTCAAACCTCATTCACTAGTTTAGAAACCGTTCATTCTCTCTGAAAAGAATTTTTTTTTTTTTAAATTTCTTTCTGAAAAGAAAAAGATTTCCATTCTTATTTCTCAAACACACGCATTCGTTCATTTTGTTAATGGATTCCTTTCTCATACTTCCTTTCGTTCCCTCTTGACCACTTCGATATGGGAAAATTAATTTCGCCAAACGAAACTACTCAATTCATTGTCAATTGCACAGTAAGTATTGAAAAATGTATGCAGCAAAACGGAAATATGCCATTTTTTTCACATTGTTTTTCTTTTTCTTGTCATTTTTTTCTTTGAATTCACTATAGAATACCAATCACAAGTATATTCCAGGCGTAAATTATCACAAATATCGAGTGTAGAAAATTGATTCCGGGAATGATCACACAAAACGATGGGTTGACTGTTCGCGCAAGCAACAAGCCGATGATTTTTAGGCAACCGAGTAAAACATACTGAGTCTGGCTCATGGCTAAATTCCATTTATATATGAGGCAGAACATTTCATGTATATTTTCTATCCATTTTCGTTAGGCTGCCTAATTGCATTAACAATTACAAACTTAATACACATCGCAAATCGATAATAACCAAAAGAAAACATGCAAAATCTGTCGTTGCTGTCAATATCCGGGAATGGAACGGCAACAGCATTACAGCGGCTCACACACGCACATATTAAGCACATTTTCACAAAACAAAGAGGAAAAAAAGCACTTTAAGTGAACCGAAATGTGTCACTCGTTTTTTTAACACTGAATTTACAGAAAAGCCATAGGCAATTGTCGGTTTTCTTCAATCATATCTACACACAAATACATGCATAGCCAACGTTTTACGTGTTACAAGTCAAAGTTTTCCATTTTGAGTGACAAATTGACTTCTTAACTCGAATTATTCTTAAAGCATGATCTATGGTTCTCGAAAGCGGCATTTATCATCAGTGAAGAGAGAAATCAATTTCAATAAATAAATACACAATCAACACTCCATAAAATACCGACTCAATTCAAAAATAATAGCCACATCGAAAGGACATGATGCATTTATTCATATATAAACAATTGGCCACTTTTTTCCGGTGCAGTCACTCTTCGTAAAAGCTTTTGTTGCCAAAATGTAGAAAAAAAAGTGGCAATAAAATAATACCATTCCGTGTATGCAGTGATGGAAAAGTATTGGCATGGAATTATATGCATGGTTCATTTTTTTTCAATTGTTACATTAGTTTGTGATTCAGATTTGAGTTTATGTCGTTGTTCCAGTCTTGTTTTTTACATTTTTGAATTCAAGTTTGGTTTTGACATTTTGAATATATAACGATTCCACCACATAGAACTGGCTTCAAGCCTCGTAAACAATTTGTCAGTAAAAGTGGTACATGAAAACCAATTCAGACAATATTTTTGTGTGGCACTTTTACCGCAAAATTTTTTCAGGGGCTCTCTAATTTACAAAAAAATTACGTTTCATTATTCCGCTTGCCCATTCAAATGATCAATCTTTAGTTGGAATGAAATGAATCAAATCAACTTCTGTTTTTTCTTTAAATGACATTAGTTTTTATTTCACAAATTAAAATATAGTTTTTTCAGGTGAAAAAAATGGAAAATAAAAATTATTTTCGTTGCGAAAAAGAGAAACCACTTGTAATAAAGCCAAAAATTGAATAAAGAACGAGGCGTAAATTCTTGCAGATTTTCATACCATTTTGCTTTCAAGCAGTAGTGTCGAAGGTACGTACTCAAATACACTGTACTTCAGTACTTTTGATTGGTAAATAATCATGGCGATTTCATATTATTGCAAAAAGCACAAATGGTATAAAGCCTTCACACGTTCCTTATCATGATCCTAGTTTTGATTGACATTTTGCGATCACCATTCATACGGTGGAAGCAGCAATGCCCTTTCGTTCAACTTCCTTCCAATTTTTGTATCAAATTGCTTCCACTCGCCGAAAAAAATCATTATTTACAAAAAAAGTTTCAGCAAATAAAAAAAAAGCTACCGAAAAGTGTGCATTATTCATGTAAATCAGTTCGTTTCCGTTGTTTTTTTCGGATTTCATTTTTTTTTGAAACGTCACGTTTTTTCGGTACCTCATTGCTCTATCGATGGAAAATTCTGAATGACGATGAATTTGGCATTTTTTTTTGTTTCGTTGTTTTTTCGGTGTTGATTCGTGATTTTGTCGCCAGCGTTGCGTTTTGTATATACGCATGAGAATGAGAATGAGGATATTTGAATATTGAAAACCATACCACAAGCATTTTGCATGAAATGGCGTTAAATATGAGGTTTCACTCACAAACACACGGTGTGTGTGTGTGTGTGTGTGTTTTTTGTCGCACTCTCGCTCTCGTTCTCGATGTGCTCTTTGCCCTTCAGAAACTCAGGCGGCTGGCTGTGATACAAGTCATGTGTGTATACGGCAGAAAGTCAAATCGAGAACAGTCGAAATGTTTTGTCACCGTAAAACGAGCGAAAATTGTAATATAGTGCATTTTATAAATTGGATTTGTAGCCCGTCGATACATGTAAAACAAAGCAAATAGAAAATGTTTTGTTTTTATTCAATTGTGACCCCTTGTGATGCCACCCGGCGCGGCACGAAACAACACAGCATTTGTGACGAACGAACGAAGCGATCTGAGCGATTGAATAAAATGGAAATCTGGGTTTAAAGTATTTTACATGGAACGCTCACCAAAATCAAAAATGTCTGTCGACGAAAAGACAGAAAAAAATACAGCAGCACCAGCACCAGCAGTGGCACAAGGTAAATAAACTAGAAAAATTGTGCGACCGAATGCAAACAGGCAAAAAGTGTCGTTTTTGCGTGTTGCCTTTTTTTTTTTTTTTCTGCGCTATTATTTGCTGGCAATATCCCTGAACTCAGCCAAAATCATGGGCATGTTTTCCACTTTTGAAAATCTATCGAGTACGACGAAATACACACAATGTAAACATGTAAACATAATGCGAACTGTTGTAATTGGCACTCTGAATTGCGTATAGCAAATAAGCAAAAGCCCATAAACCCAAATCGAACGAGGAAAACAGAAACAAAACAAAATTAAAAACGGTCCTTCAATTCGATTGCGACGAAAACAACGTGCAATGCATGAAAAACGGACATCAAATGAAGGCTAAGAGCTTTACGCTGTGAGCCACTCACTCTCTCTCTCTCTCTCTCCCTCACACACACATATGGGCACGCAGCGAAGTGAAAGCCTTTCACTACACCCTCGATTCGGACGAAATAAATGTGTTGTTGTCTGCTTGATTGCCTGATGAATCTCTGGTTCGATGGCATTTCAGATATGTAGTGCATGTGCTAAAGCATCAAAAAAAGCGATAACCTCTTTTCCATGTTGTGATTTTCACTTAATAAATATTCAGTAAACGGTTTCAGTACATTCATTTAATATTCGGTAAGCGTCGGCTCTCCAGTCCTCCATCCACTGCACACACCGACCACCAACACCAGCTCTGAATATCCCAATCGCAACAGTTGAATCGCAACTATAGCACATAATGCTCTTTCTCTATATGTATATTATGGAGTTTAACTCGTGCCACAGAATTGCATCGGGAAAAAGGAAACCGGAAAAAACAGTTACGCTATATGTTGAATGTGGCTCGTGTGCAACGATGTGTGTGTGTATGTTTGTGAGAGAGACTGAAAGAGGTGAGAGAAAGAGTGTGTATGTGGATGTATGAACGGCTGACTGATGATAAAATTCCGCGCGCACCATATTCGAAATGTAAGCTTACTGCCGCAATTTTGTTACAGAATTTCTGTAACGAAACTTTTCGATAATCCGGATCAGCACAATGTACAAAACGAATCCAACATATGCGACCTGTCAACCGGCCCACGCCAGTCACAGGTAGTAATACCCCGAAAATCCGGCAACATAGTTTTTCATCAATGTTAACGAAAATTTCATTTTCAACTACAATGCCGACGTCGTCATCGTCGTCGTAGTCGCCGCCGTAGTCGTTGCTGTCGTCACCATCACCATCGTCTTACATACACACACGCGTTGTGCGCGTTCGAATTTTATTATTTTATGGCATTAAATCACGGGGCCATCGGTATATCAGCGATTGTCCGGCAGCAGCATACCGCCACACACACACACAGCTAGGAATAAAAAAAGGACGACAAGCGATTCAATCGCATCTCGATTGAGTCATGAACACCTAACGGCTTTTGATTGAATGTTTGCCATAGCAATCGCTATAAATGTGATCGGATGAGTTTTTGTTTATGTGTGATAACGCTGCTCTAGGGAAGGTGGGGTGGCAAAAGTGCCATTTTATATCGATAAAATTGAAGGCATCGGCATTTATTGGGCCGCGCTCATCCAAAGCATTAATTCGATTTCCGACAGGATGGGCGCAAAAACAAAAGCTTCAGCATTTCGGCTATTTTTCTCCAAGTTAATATCGTGATAATGGGGCTCATCAATGAGTGCACGCAACATTTACCAGGACATTCGACATTTCCACTTTAATTCTTTGCGCGCCGCGCCATCTTATTATTAAAACGGGATCGAAAACGTGACAAACACTAAAATCGACTACTTGTTCCAAGTTTTCTTTTCCAACGTATACTCGGCCTCGGCACCTCCACAAACACTCATATCTCTTGTCACACATTCGATTGCTGTGTCTCTTATTCTGTTTCTTTTGTTCCGTTGTTGTTTGAGCATTCCGCACTTTCAAAATGGTATCACGTCTACAGAGATCAAGAAACATCGTTAACACACTCAAATCGTTTATCACATATATTCATATTGGACGAAACGTTAGACATAAATCGCAATTTTACTGCCTTGTCCTGACTCGCCGAAATTGCAACTTTCTTAATTACAGTTCCGGTTGGATTGAATGTTGCGTTCCGAATACGGGCGCACGTCACGTCCAGACGATAGATAGTTTAAGGTCTTTTAATCAGCTATTAATGTCTTTAATTAGGAAATTAGCACTTCGCATAACCATCCACCGACGAAACATCGTCTTTCAGAGGATGATGACGAAGAAGAAGACGACGAAAAAATACATCAAAATTTTATTGCAACGCACTCAGTCTGTCTGAGATATCCACGTAATTATACACATAATGATTGTGGCAAAAAGATTATAAAGAAAACAACTGATTTCCCGTTGCGTAGGCAATCATGGCCCGAGAAAAGTGCTTTCGAAATTCAGAAATGAATGATAACATTCAGCTGAATGCCAATCTGAATTGCAATAATATGGACAATTATTATTACCACTGAATATCAACCATAAAGATTATGACCATTTCAACAACAACCGAGCGCCGAAACATCAGCTACAAATGTTTCAACTTCAATAAAGACAACCGTTAAGCCGACTTATGATAGAATTTAATAGTTTGCTCTTTCAACAATAGACATTCGCCAAAGACATAACAAACCGAATAAACCAAATATTAAACGGATTCTACAGTCGTTAACGTCGCCGGTTGAAGACACAGAACAAGGAACACAATCACATAAAAAAAAGTAAATTTAATCAAATTTGGACATTCAACGTATACACGAACATTTTCATTGGGGAACAATTTACTCAACATAAACAGAAGAACAGTGTTATAGCACCGGGGCAATAAAAATGGATTTCGGTATTTGTACTAAGTCGGTATAATTTTGAACGACAGTTGATTTTGCTAATTTCCGATTATGATTATTATTATGATATCGATTATACTCGGCTCACGTTCAAAGTTAATGAAAACTGGGAACTACGCGAGAAAGAATTCATCCGGTGGCACAAAAATACTGTTTATATTTCACTTGTGATTCCTTTGTTCATTCAATTGAATGTTCTTTCAATTAAAAATTAATGTTATTATTAGAAAAAAAAATACTGGGAAAATGCAATGAAATGTCCAGTCTATGGGCTCAAACTATTCAGTTTATTATTTCACCGTCCATTTTTAAGTGATTGTATATAGTGATACTCGATTTTCGGTGAAATTTAAATCATAGGGGTATTGCAACGACCATAAATTATATGTATTTCATCAAGTTTATCGAGCTCTTTCGAAGTTTATGCATAGTGTCGAACTTTTGTTCAAGCTCCACCATCTAAATGTACAGTAAAATTATTTACGGGCACGACGTTAAATGGTGTTTTTTCTGGTGAAAAAAGTTGCAATATCCCTTTGATTTAAATTGAGAATTTCATTAAAAATAGCAAGTAAATCAGATTTTGTTCGGAATCATATGCAGCCGCTGAAACACGAAGCCAATTAAAAAGATTTCAAAAGTAATTTATTCAACAGACCGAATTTTGCTCTTCGTTCCAAAGAGCTCTCAATATGAAGTTATAAAAATTAAATTATTTCGATTCGATGTATGTTGGTTAGACGATGAGATTAAATTTTATTGGCTGTGAACATGAATGTGTGCCGAGTAAAATAAATTGGATATTTGAATAATAAAAGCGACAAATTTTGTATAAATACGTTTGGAATGTGTGCAATGAATGATTTCGATTGAAATGACTCCGTGGGAAATATTTTGCGAGTGAATCAGAAGAATGAAACGGAGTGAAAAATGTATGGTGTTATGTCTGACGCCGGTATTTGTCAAAAGTTTGGATATTTAAATGAAAACACACATTTCAAGCGACGCCCCATGACTCTCTCATCATTGCTCTTTCTGTTCCCCTCCCTCTCCCTCTCTCTCTCTCTTTCGCCGGTCCCTGTTCTCTCTCCATCTCTTTCTCTTTCTACCTCATTTTTGGCGAGCAATGAATGGAATTTAAATGCTTGTAATTGCGAAATGAATTTAATACCTGCTGGAAATGGCAATGGAATAAAAAAAGGGGGTTTCAAAATAACATGATAAAATCACCAACATTTTTGTTCGAGCATATGATTTTTGTTAAAATGAAATTAATGCAAATATAAATTGCTCAAAATCGTGAGCAGTCATAATCAAAAATTGTATAGAAAATTGTGCCGCCGACAACATCGACCACACAGCCACCGTAATGAGGCGATGCTCTCATAATGATTGCACAAGCAATACTCAAGTTGAAATTGTGCGACATACACAAATACCCAGGCGAAAATATGCACATGCTAATTGAAAAACCTTGTGCAATGAGCACATACAAGTCTCCGACAACAGCATACATTCAAAAAAAAATTAATTATCATATCATGCGTGAACAAAGTGCGAGCATGTGTGTGTGTGTTTTTCGTTTGGAACAGACATAACCGCACCGATCGGCGTTCATAAACATCCGCACGAAAGAAAGAGAGAGAAAAACGGAATTCGAATTGTTGAAAGAGGAAAATCCGTGAAAATGCGCTCAAACAGATCAAATTCAGACACACAAAAAACCAACGGCTGTACACGCGCCTGTGTGTGTTTATGTTTGTGAGTATAGTTGTGAAGTCAATTAAATGCCGCAGCATTCTTTTCAAATGACTATAAATAAATTTGTACACACTTCATTTGTGACTTTGTTCCGTTTGCTCACTTTGACAGCAGTATCAGCATCGAAATCTCGTTTTTGCTTGTGTGTTAACGTGTTTTCTCTATTGCGAACACGAATCATGACTTAGAGCAACAGAGAAAGGCACACAGAGAGAATCTCTAAGAGATTGCACTGACAGAAAAACACCCATGTCATGTGTAAAAACCAATCGGTGTATGAATCGTGGAAAATGCACGAGAATCACTCATAGGTATTTCTCTATTCCTCTCACTTTCTCTCATTTTTCCCTACTCTCACTCTCTCGATCCGAAATTAAGATATTTTCGTGTGTCAAAACGCATGTTTGCTTCAATGCGTTTCAAACCAAAAAAAGCGAAATGATTCCGTCGTTGTTCGGTTTGAAAAACGATGCCTGTTGCCAATCTCTACGAAGTGATGATGATCTGGGACCTCTGTTCCATTGCGACTTGCACGCGTGCACAATTTTCATTAACTCATACGAAAAAGACAAAGAAAAGTGTCTTAACGACCGAATACTCACATATTAGATCGTTTGTTTTCCATTTTTTTTTTCATTCGGCTTTGTTTTCCGTCTTTCACCCGTATTTCCCTCTCAGCGCAAAATACATGCGGCCAATCGACACACACAAAATCTTTTTCTCTCTCGCACAGACACACACACACACACGCTCCTCACAATAACTTCAACATTGGATCATACACATTCTTGAATCACAACAAAAACAAAGAGAATGAGAAGAGAGAGAGAGAGAGAGAGAGAGAGAGAGAGAGAGAGAGAGAGAGAGAGAAAAACTTAAAAATAAACATGAATTGAATTGAAGAGAAACAGGAGAGGAAAATTTAGCGAATAAATCCCAACAACAACGAAAGTAATTTTATTGGTTTTCAGTTGATGAACACAGCAGCAGCAGCAGCAACAACAACAACAACAACAAAAACACGCTATAAGGAACGTTGAACAGAATATATACACATTGAGCCGTGTAGAATGCGAAGGCTTTTCTCGTATTATTTTGGTATTCGCTTTGATTTGAGATCGTCTCTCACAGTATAGACAGATAGATTCACGGTGTTGGAAGAGAAATCAAATTCTGACATCGGCTGCTGAATCTTTTTTCTACGTTCGTTTGTTCGTTCGTTGTCTCTCTCGCTCTCTCTCACGATTGCATTTTGGATTCATTTCGATCAGTGGATTCATTTTGGAACGGTTTTTTGTCTCATACATTTCAGTGGCAATTGAATAGTGATCAATGAAAATAGAAGTGGAAAAGCGCAGAAACAAAAGAATAAAAGCAAAAAGGAGTGAAATTTCGGAAAATTTGATTAAAATCACGACAAATTACGATGAAAAATAAATGTGTTGCGGCCAATTGACTGTGAACTGTGCTTAAGCTAGTGGTAAAAATAAGAAACAAAGATAAACGGAATGGGTTTATTCAATTGGATTCGAATACATGTTGAATGTTCCATGAATGGGAAAACATCGAACAAAAAGAAACAATAACAACATCCGAGTGTGAACAAGGAATTTTGTGTGTATCATGTGGCGGTGATTCATTGGCATCATATTTTCTGCGCAAAAACAGTGCAATTCGGAGAAAAGATTATTTTTGAACATTTTCTTTAAAATTCTTTCTGAGTGTATAATGCCGTTTTTGAGAGAGAACATTTGGTGGTCGCTTCTTTTTTTTTTTGCTTGGAGACGCAAAATCCATAAACGGTATTTGATGTGAGCTGGCAATTAAACGGCATTTGAGTGATGAGTCGCGTACAAGTGACGAGAGATTATTGTTGCTTGTTGCTGTTCCGTTTGTTGTTGTGGTGATGATGTGCACGCACTGTTTGATTCGCGTGATATCTCAATTCGCCGTTTCGATTTTAGCCCATAACATTGTGTCTTGAACTTTATTCACTCGTCACCTGGCATCATGTTGATGATCCGAAAATAAAATCACATGCCAGGCATTGAAATCGAAATTCGATGTCGCCTTCTAATTCGATCTCACTCTCTCTATCTCTCGTCGCGACGTTTTTTTTTTCTTTCGTCTTGTCTTCATCGTTGTGATTAATCATAAAGCTGAAGGAAGTGAAGGTTTTTTGATAATAATTAGACTATCTATGTTGATACAGTTGTATGGTTGATCTAATCGCCATCGAATGTGCTTAATAGTGTGTATAATAAAAATTTTTCTTGCGATTTTATGGCGATGCCAAAAATAAATTGTTCAACTTGAGAATATAATAAACAAAATAAAAACGGCGACAAATTTCTGATTCGCGTCGCCGCTATAATTCATTGACAAAATAAAGAGAAAAAAAAATGAATCGGTTTGGTATTTGAAACAAAGTAATTTTCTTTGTCTAATTACAGAGATGCGGTTCGCAAATGCACAAACACACATAGAAACTTCGATGAAAATGTGCAAAGCTGACTCATTGCTCTCGATCCGTGTGCAAAAGCTGCAATTTCGTAATTTTTCAGCAATTTCTCTACGTTTTAAATAAAATTGCACATTACCTTACAGTTTCTCTGTACACAGTAAATACGAATCCGGCGACAGTGTTGGCTCTGGTCATTCACTCAGGTGCGCTCATTGCATGTATGTTTCTTGATATTGCGACAAAAACGATCGTATGTGTGCGTACGTATTTTAATGAATGACTTGGCAGAGATTTTCTACTCATTGCCGCTGTCTCTCTAGCTAAACTTAGCTAAAAACTTGGAGCCGAAACTATGTGGCGATTTGGGTTTAAAGACACGCTTCGCTTCACTTCCAATTCCAAACACGGGAGTTTCCTTCATTTTCCAGCCACCGCACATTCTGTTCCTTTGTCAATGTCACATGTGTGTGTGTGTGCTTGGCGAAGAGAGTTCGCACTGCGTTCGGGTTTTGCCATTATAAAACGGCATAAATCGGGAGTCAGTTACACCATACTGAATGCAATACGTTTTAAAGTCAGACTGAAATTTAATTAATTAGAAAATTTTCTCGTCTTCTTTTCATTGCTTTATTATAATGAAATGCAGGAGTATCTTTCGAGTCGCCGTCGTCGTCGTCGCGCGAACGACCGAACTGCTTAAGTTTCCATTCAACATTCTCCGAAATGATGTGAAACAAAACCATTGTCTGATGCAGCGGTTTAAGGGATGACACTTCTCACTTTGTCGGCTATGAAACCAATTATTTATGAAAAACTTTATCTGGAGTATGTTTGTCTTTGCTCGACGTCAGTCTTAAGCCTGCATATGTGCGTATATGTATGTTCGTGTGTGCGTGTGTGGCGACAAATAGCTCAGCTGAAACCAGTTTAAATTTTAATTAAACGCTTCTCATTTTCGAATCGCGCGCGTCGAATAAGAAGCGATTGTGTGTAAATGAGGTTCATTGTCATTCACATATGAAACACGATACGAATTAATAAATTTTCATTATTTTTCCATGCTTAACAACAAATGCGACGACAATCGGTCGACACACACGCACACACACCGATATATAGCAGCACGCACACATTTTTCAACACACTTACGTTTAATTAAAGAGCGACACATTCCATTGGCAAATTAAATTGGAAGAAAAATCGAAAAGAAATATTGCTCGTTTTGTTTATTTTGTGTTTGGTATGTGGAAAGTGCGCCAACGAGCAGTGTGAGAAAGAGACAGAAAATAACAAACCTGGTCATATGTTTGCCACTTGTTTATCGTTTGAGCTCACATGTAATGTGACAACTTCGCCACGCGTCGCATTTTCTTTTCTTTCTTCGGTTATTCGCAAAGAATCGCAGATAGTTTTGCACCCGAGAAAACCGAGACAGAAAAAAATGGCAAAATATAGCATGTACGACCAAACGATTGGACGAAGCTGAAGCTGGCATTGGGAAAGGGTGCTATCGAAAATACACGCTTTTGCCATTTTCTTCGTCATTTCCATCGACACCGTTCGGCTCTCCCTCTCTCTCTCTCTCTCTCTCTCTCTCTCTCTCTCTCTCTCTCTCTC